AGAGAGAGAGAGAGAGAGAGAGAGAGAGAGAGAGAGAGAGAGAGAGAGAGAGAGAGAGAGAGAGAGAGAGAGAGAGACGCGCCTTTGGTTTCTTCCGAATGTACCATCATCCGGAAAATAAAACTTATGAGGTGATGAAATTAGTTTACCAAAAAAAAAAAAAACGGCAGAAGATCAAATTAGTTGTCTCAATATAAATAGACAGGAATCAAACCGAATCCAAGAGAAAATAGTAAATGCAACTAAATGGACAATTAAATAATGAATTTATTAAATTTATGGACAATTGAATAATGAATTGATTAAATTTGTGATATGTCGGATAAGAGTAGATTGCGTGTATAATGATTAATTAAAAAACGAAGAAGATAAATTTGTTGCTGTCCGTGAAAAATATAGGTAGCTCCTTATGAGTTTTAATCGCCTGTGATTTTGGGAAAATTCGCCAACCTTTTTAGTTTACCATTATTACTATATTATTATTTTTTGAGTGAGTTTTTTTGTTGCCTTGTTCTTTTTCTTTTTTGGGAATTAAGCTAAAATATTTTCCACAAAATTTCGACAAGGTTTAAATTTTGATACGCACATTTTCAACTCCCAACTTCTTGTTTTTCTTTTTTTTTTCTTTTTTTTTGAGTCGGCCCATCACACCAGAAGCAATTCTGTGCCCAACCTTTTTGCGCACCGTTATGCTTTTGCTAACCAGGTATGGTTAATACCGGTACGTCTTGTTAATGGGGTTAACCATATCGCGCTAACCATGGTAAATTTTATGGTTAACCCGATTAATCCTGTGGTTAACCATGTTAACCGAACTTTTGCCTGAACAGTGGGGTTATTGGGTTAACCATATGGTTAACTTGGTTAGCGGGGCTAACCAGATGGAGTAATGGGGGGGTTAACTAAATGGGGGGCCTAACTAAATGGTTAATCCGGTTAATGGGTGTTGATCTTATGGATAATCGGGGGCTAACCATATGATTAATCCTGTTCATGGCGTTGATCAGATGGACAATCGGGGGTTAACCATATGGATAATCGGGGGAGTAACAATATGGTTAATCCGGTTATTCCGGTTAACCAGATGGTGACTAATCCGGTTATGGGGTTAACCGTATGGGGCTTAACCAGTGCGTTAACCCCGTGACTAATCGGGGTTAACCAGTGAACCGTATGGGGCTTAACCAGTGCGTTAACCCCGTATGGGGCTTAACCAGTTAACCAGTGCGTTAACCCCGTGACGAATCGGGGCTTAACCGTGTGTATATGGTTAACCATGTTAACCATCGGGGAACGGCAAGATTCCCATTAGAAATTGGAAAGAGTAAAAAATAATGATAATACTATACGAATGAATAAAATAATAATAATAATAATAAAATAATAAAATAAAGTAATAAAATAAAAATAAATATAGTAATAATAACAATAGCAATAAGAAAAGGTTCTTCGGGACATCCGTTAAAATTGGAACGATACAGAGAAGGGTAATTAGCAAAATGGCCCCTGCGCAAGGATGACACGCATAAATCAAGAAATGATCCAAATCATGGACCAAATGTAAAAAAAAAAAAAAGAAAGAAATCATAATAACAGTTAGGAACCATAATGTTAGAAAAGTCTAGAACTGCGAAAAATTTGGACATGGACTCCTGACTAACAGAATCTCTAAAAGAAAAGAAAAAAGAGAAAGAAAGGAAAAAAAAAAAGGAGAGAAAATAATAAAATAGGAAAGCTCTAGCTCGCTTTGGTGGCAAGATGTCATACGCAGATCTTCTTTGGCGTCAAGATGCCCCCCTGCCCAAAACTGGGATTTGGCGGCAAGATGACCCCCTGCCCAAAGCTGGGATTTGGCGGCAAGATGCCCCAATGCCCGAAGCTGGGATTTGGCGGGAAAGATGTCCCCTGCCCAAAGCTGGGATTTGGCGGCAAGATGCCCCAATGCCCGAAGCTGGGATTTGGCGGGAAAGATGCCCCCTGTCAAACCTGGGATTTGGCGGCAAGATGTCACACTCAGCGCTTCTTTGGCGCGCTGCGTCTTGGATTGGCGCGCTGCGCGCGCTATGGCGATTTCACAATGAGCTACGGTAGCCCTCGCGCCATTTTGAGCCGTCCGTCAGAGAAACAGCGCGTTTTGACACGTGCAAGCGGGAGAGAAAAGTAAGCTTTGCGCGCTCTGACACGTGAAAGCGGAGAAAGGCAAAGCTTGGCGCGCTTTGAAAAACCCTCCACACCTCCACGAAAAAAAAAAAAAAAAAAAAAACAAACCCTCTACCGTAACACCATATGTACGAAGTTCAACTCTCTTTTTTTTTTTTTTTTTTTAATTTTAAATTTAAACTTTTATACCGATTCATACAAAAACGTTTTTGGTTACTCGTGGCAGATTCTGACCGCCAGAAAGGATATACTCTTGAAATGAATCTGGCTGTAATTCTGGTATAAGATAGATTCCGCAAAAGCGCGAGTGCGGCTACGCCCTAACGCCCTAATTGCCATCTTCTTCCTTAATGTAAAAAAATAATATTGCAGAATTAAGCTGCAAAACCTTATCCAACTTTTGGGTCTTTTTTTTTTGTATTCCGTTAGATCTGTTCCAATATATTCCGTTGGCTTCCGTTAGATAGCTCTTTCGAACAAATGGGGATGTTATAAATGCAATATATCAATCAATTTAGATCATTATAATTTATAATACAGTAATAATTATCACTATGGATATTTGATTTATTGTACATATTGTGATTTTGGACGCATCTGTTGGGGGTAAACACTCAAGTGTTGGGGGTAGGCAGGCACTCAGTATTACGGGGTACGCACTCATTTGGGATTAGGGGGGTAGGCCCTTGTTATGGGGGGATAGGCAGTAGGGAGTCATTATAAATCGGTGCCCTATTTGTTTTTTAGGGGTCCATCTTCTGACAACCACTCCTCGCAACCTTCATTCTCCCTTTACTTCCTTGCCTCTTTCTCTCCTCTCTCCCCCTCCCTCTTTCTCTCCTTCCGTTTTCTCTCCTCACCTCGTCGCTCGCTCCCTTCCTCTCTCTCTCTCTCTCTCTCTCTCTCTCTCTCTCTCTCTCTCTCTCGCTTTCCTTTTATCTGCTCTTTCCCGTTCCTTCTTCAGTCACCCTCTCTCCCCGTCTCCTTCTCTTCCTGTCTCCTTCTCTCCCTCTCTCTCTCTTTTTCTCTTCCCCTCCCTCTCCCCCTGCCTCTCCCCTTTCAGTCTCTCTTTGCCATTTCCTCTTTTTCTTCCTTTCCACTCCTCTCCCTTTTTGGACTCCCCTCACGGATGCCGTCCCTCCTCTTCGATCCTCCTTCCTTCTTCTGCTTGTCCTCGTTGGCCGTTCTTTTCTCTGTCACAGTGGTTATACGAATCACTCCCTATCTTCTCTCTCTCTCTCTCTCTCTCTCTCTCTCTCTCTCTCTCTCTCTCTCGCTCTGTCTGTGTGTCACTTTCTCTCTGTGCGTCCTTCTGTGTCTCGCTTTCGCTCTCTCTTGCAATCTTCCTCTCATGGTCTTTCACTCCTCGGTTTCTCCCTCCCCCTCTCCCGCCCTCTCTCCCCATCTTCATGACTCTTTTTCCCTCTCTCTTCCTCACTCTCCCT